TATTTTTTTGAATATAACGTAACTTTGAAAAATAAATTTGTAATATTAAAAAAAAATAATAATAATTATTATTATTATATTATTATTATATAAAAAACAAATCCATAAAAAATGAAATGTAAAAAAAAAAAATATTATTACAAAAATACTTGTTTATACAATTAAAAAAAAAAAAATTTTTTTAAACTGATTGATTTTTAATTAGAGATTTATTTTAATGCAACAATAATTTCTTTAAAAAAAAATACTATAAAAATTTTTTTTCAAGAAACCAATAGTAACAAAACAAAAATATTGTTAATTATTTTCATCTATATTTTACATTAAATCATAATATCTAAAAAATGTTAAAGACAATGATAATTTAATATACTGTATATTTTTTCTAATCATTTGCAAATACTGCTTATGTTTAAAATTTTATTTGGTTTGAATTAACGCTTATAAAGTGATCAATGATTTTCCTATTTTTAACAAATGATATTTTTTATTATTTGATAAGAGTTTATTTTTTTTATAAAAAAAATATTTAAAGATCGTATCAAAATTTCGATATAAATAATAATCATTGAATAATCTAAAAACAAATGATACTAAATATTTAACAAGTGAATGGTTGATTATACAGTTGACGAAATTTTTTTAGAGAAATGTAAGGTGGTGATTTTGAGTTATTTTTAGGATTGAAAATGACGTACGATAAAACAAAGTAAAGTTGAAATGGGATATTTCGTTTTAAAAAAACCGATTTAGAAATAATGATATAAAAATCCTAAGAAGCACTGCGCATTTATCAAATATTAATGTGGTTAATCATATTGGTTACTTTTTTACATACCCAATATACAGTATTATACAGATATTATACAATATATCCGCAAATACCGTACTGTATAACTTCATAAAAAAAAAAAGAAAAAAGAATCGAGTTATGCTGTGTTGTTCATTAAAAACGACTGATTTAGTAATTTAAAAGTGTTAGAATATAATTTAAAAGGGTCGATCTTTTTTCAAAGTAATCGGAAATGTGGAATAAATGGGATGTGAATGTAAGAAACCAATTATGCAGTATCTTTGAAAAACAACGGCGGCTGATAAAAAGATCGTTAGAAACCGACAATTCATTTTATTCCTTTACATGCATGCAAACATATAATACATGACGCCTGCCTTCCGTTCAGGTATCATGTAGCCCATCAAAATACCAAACAATTCTGGTGCAGAATTTGCAACATCCGTTGTTCTCATCCGAAAATCTTATTGTGCCTTGCGTTTAACCGAACAATACACCCAACATGATATGAAGTAATTTCAGCTCCTCGTGCTCTGCCTGTAACCTCATTACTCTTCTTAGATATTATTTAAATTATCTCAACATGCATTACGATGAATATGGAAAAAAGAAATATTTCAACGACTCAAAGAACGAACAACCTGATAAACAAGAAGAAATCTTGAGCATTGCTCTTGAGGAGATTGGAAGAATCGTCACATCGCCCTTACAAGTAATCCACAAACTACTATCAAAGGAGGTTAATCACAAAGAAGCGTTCGCCACGTTGAGAAGAATTCAGGTCAATAAATTAGAATTGAATGAAACAATCGAGAGAATTGGAGCCGAAACGGTGGAAATCATAGAATCTCTCAAGGTCGAATATTTTCGTTACATGATTCAGAAGAAACCGTATTACGAAGAAATAACCAAAGAGTACAAGAAACACAAAAATATGACGAATGACCTAAAGGATCATAAATTAAAATTGGAAAACGGGGCGGGGATAAATGAAGATGCGGACTTTCATCGGAAGTTGAATGAATTGACAGCATCACCAATTTTGATGATGATGTGTGAGTGGTTAGAAGATTTAGAAATTGACCCCGTGATTTTTGCACCCTATAGAAACCTCGAGCATAAACTGAACGACAAAGCAACACAGTTTTATTATTTCCGCATCAAGAATCTAGATGAAAGAGTTGAAAATAATTTAAAGGAGTTTAGAAGGCATGTTCTGCGTGACAGAGATAAGATTCTTCAAGATTTATTTGATGTTATTAGTCAAACATACAATATAACAAATGAGCAAACCATCCAGGATGACACAACAGCAATCATTGATGTTCACCTAACAAATTCAGAACATCAAGATAGAAAAGATTATTCGACCCGTTGCAATAATATTTTAGAGCTTTGGTCAAAGGGTTTATTGAATGAGATAATTGAGCAAACGGAAAAGCCAGATGAACGTGGCGAAAATTATTAACATGGTGAACACGAACATGCATATCATGACGAGGTTAATTCGCGAGATACAGCTCCTCGATGGTGGAAATCTTATAATCTCTATTCTGCACATCGAACCTCCAACAACCAAGGTACCATCGGATGACTAACTTGTTTAAAAAAAATGAAGTGACAAAAAATTTACCACTTGTTCACATAACAAGGATCTCGCGTGCAGACAAAATAGAATAAAGATAAAATGAGCCCCTCACATCCGGTAGAGTTTAATATATGGGTAATTCTTTTCGAAGGCGGACAGGGATTTTTCGGTCACTATAATTGTGATCCTAAAATTACATTGTGTATGCATTGTTTAAATGTAGGGACCGAAAAAATAATATCTAGCATTTTGCCGCCTTCGAAAATAATTACCCATATAAAGTACATAATAACATTTATTGTAGCGCTTAAATATGTTTGAAACTAAAGAATGCATTAATATCTGTAAAACCTTAATTAAACAATGGGGATGAACATATCACATCCATTCACGCATCATTATGCATATAAGAGGTCATTTTAGGCACGTGGATGTAGAATGCTAAAAAATAATGCATCGTAGAATGTCTTTGAATGTTCCGTCTTACATATAGTGAAATAATCTTAAAGCTTATAAACTTTCGGTGAAAACCGAGATGGAATATTACAATCCTTAGAAAATACTGTAGATTTCATATGAAGATGCAGTAGATCAAAACAACGGGAAATTCTGCGTCCACGAAGTAGCTGATATGGGAGAAATCAAAACAATGAAGGTTCCTCATCCACGAAATAATCAATGAACGATAGAGATGAAACTTCGTTGGAGGGAAAGATGGGTAAAGGAGATAATGAATGGGGGTTGGAAGAGGATGGTAAATGTGATGCAATGGAATTCAGGAAAATTGTAGAAGAGAGTGAGAGCTCGGGGTTGATGTAAGTGTATCCCGAAGATGGTTGCATGTTTGGAGGCTCGGCCAAATACAGCGTTTCGTGGTTGGGTTGAATGTATGAAGAGAGCGATATGGGATCAGAAGATAGCGAAGGCAAGGAGAAGTGAGAACGTCCGAGAACTTGAGATTGTGATAAAACGCGAGAAACAGGAGTCGTGGAAGCAGAATAAGATTCGAGCGTAGTTGACGGTGACATGTCTGATCTGACGGAACCAAAAGAAATTCCGTCTCTAACATCGACCTCATTAAGATACCGTGGTTGCACGTGAAAAAAGGTGAGGTCGGTTTTTTTCTTTGGCTGGAACTTGTAATCCGGATACTTCAACATGTGATTCTTCTTGGCCAACAATGACAAGGCTTCAAAAAACTTCTTCACTCTCACATCTTGCTTTCTCCAAATTTTCGCCACTTTCTTTGATGTTTCCGAAGTGTGCGACTTCTCATTCTCCAATTTCATCCTTGCGGCCTGGTTTTTTCGGAAGATGAAGAACGGATTCGGTGAACGGGGAATTGTATACGGTGTTCTTTTCGACGCACGTTTCATTTCCGGTGCCTTCGTGAGTTCTTCAATGGATAGGATTAGCGGATAAGGAGGGTCGCGAAGGAGTTCAACCGTTTCCGAAGAATTTAACAATTCGTCGATATAAACCAATTCTTGCGCATAAGACATTTTTTACTCGGTAAACTGGGGAGAGTAAACGATAATGTTTTATTCAATGTGTGAGAACCGGAGGATGAGGATTCTGAGCTTTCATGATCCCGACTTTATATACAATTTTGAACTCTAAACTTTGACATTTCCTTAATTCCGACAGCCTGACGTAGAATTCCGGAAAGAGATAACGTTATAAGAGACATCGGCAAAAAAAAAAACAAAAACAAAGAATACAAAGGGGTAGGAACCCACCGCAGGTGATTTAAGACCGTTTTTCTATAAGTGATTTGATTGACGCGTTTTTTGCGTATCTAACTTAGTGCACCCAAATTTTCCTGTCACCAATACATCTTTGATATTCAATTATTTTTAGTAATACAAAAATAAATTCTCCAGGGTAACTCTGAAATGAAGGTTAAATTTTAATATGTCGTATTGTTACATCGTCAATGAGGAAATGCTAGGTAATCCCATTCAATTACATCATTAGGTTCCAACAATTCGTTTTGCGAAATCTACAAGATGAAAAAGGTTTTAGTTTAAATTAATAAACGTGTTTTCTTTTAATAAAAGGAATCGTTACACGAAAGTTGTGAGAAAATTTCAGGAAGTCGAAAAATAAAAGAATCACTTTATAAAAGCATCACGCCGAATTGCATCAATAAGGTTTCTACGGTAATACATTGTATAAAGAGCGTCATATGTTTATCCAAATTAGGTGGACAATTATTCTCTCGGTTAGGAAAAAGAAAATTTTTTGGACGAATCGTTATTTTTGTTGAATTGAAACAAAACACACATACACCCACACACGCACACATAACAACAACAATAAATTACAAAAGTTCTTGCTGAAATTCGAATAATAACCATAGGAATTTTATTAAGCCAATCAATGATCATAGCATGAAGCTACTACCATACAATACAATACAAGAGCGACGATTTTCACGGGAGTTTCGTTGTATATCATATATGCGCTTAGGTTGGTTATTCGGTTCTTAAAATGGACCATCGTCGCATATTATGAAACAGTTGACGATTCTAAATCAAAGCTTATAATTTTAAATTATTTGACCGCTTGCATGTTTCGTGATCACGGCGAGAGCTCAGGCGTTAGCGTTATACGAAGAGTTTTCTGTATAGTTCCGAATATTGAATCACATAGATTCGCTTAAACTCGCATAAATAGAAAAATCATGTGGATTTTAATTCATATAATAAGATTTACAGTAGACATGGTTGATTCGAATGAATCCAAAAATAGAATCTTGATTTTCTTGGCGCATTTCGGTGTTTGAATTATTACGGCATTTGATAAATTTATCTAATTATTCACCGGCCAATCGCTTCCGTGCAAGTCAAAGTTACAAGAAATGTCAGTCTCGAAGGTGCATGGAGTCGAAAAAGCGTATTGTAAGGAATCAAAATATACGGGATTCGTGTTTAAATTACTGTCTGGACACACGTCGATAGGACCATAAAAGGTTTCATTCCTCGTGTTTGAAACCTCGACTGGATTAAACGTTGATTGCGCCTGCACGACGTCAGTATCATCGATGATAAGATTTGGATAAAAACCGTAAGTTGATGGATCGAAAATAAAGGGCAATGAACCGTTGAACGCCGAGTCTATCGGTGTTTTGCTTGTCAACGGGAAGGGATCGGAAAAAGAAGGGTTGTATTGCGTATTGACCGTAGAATCAACTTCCGTGACGCATTGATACATTAGATTCGATAGCGGACTTGTTATTTCAGAAGGCTGTTCGAAATTAGGGAGGTTTGTTGTTGTATTTGCATTCGGAAGTGGGGCATCTCGATTAACCTTTCTTTTTGACTTGGACCGACATCTTTTACCATTTCTTCGGTCACTTCTGGGATTGTATTTATAACCGGGGTATTGTTTATTATGATTTTCTCCCTGTATTTCGGCCAAAATCTTGAAAAACAATTTGACCATGGAATCTTCTTTCTTCCAATGTTCCGAAGACATTTTTGATATATCCTGAACCTTCAGGTTTGGTTGAGTGAGTTTAATTTTTGCGCCAAAATCTTTTCGATAAAGAATATATCCATTTGGTGGTCTAGGAACCTTCAACTCGAGCGAATCTTTCTTGCACCTTTTTTTATCCGAAGGCTTGGTAAGTTCTTCGATTGTTAAAGTTAGCTCGTAAGGAGGATTACGAAGCAACTCGTGTTCTAATTTCGAGTCCAAAACATCATCATGAAAGATGAGTTTATGACGTGACATTATTCTTTGATATGAAGGGAACGAATATAATTTTGAACGAGAACAAAAACAACAGGAAATCGAATATAATTATTTTACGAAGAATTACAAGGATTCTTTATCGAGCGTCTCAAGCACCTTTTATAAAAATTTCAAACAGTAATATGATATAGTGTCAATAATGAATGGTACCAATTGAAAAGGAGATTTGGCATATATAAATGAATTAATGCATGGAGCTGTAATGGAAAGTGTAAACGGACTTGATGTTTTCTGAACGTCCGATCTACCTTAAAAACATGACCGTAACCTGAAGTAGATATCGGAAATTTTGGCAATTCTCTTATAATTATGTGTAACGATCGATAGATGAATCTCATTCGTTAAGATTTTTCCGAACCCGTTTGGAGTAATGATCCACAATTGGTTCCCGGAGAATGTCTCCATCTCTACAATGTTAATGATTTCCCAGATTTCCCGAGAAACAAAATAAAAAATAATAGTGACCTCCAAAAATGTCACCGGATAAACTTGTCCATCGTTCCAACATTGTCAGATTTTTGTTTACCACTCAACCTTAAATGGTTATCAAATAATTTTTTCTCGAAGTTCATGTTCCGTCGGCTGATTGAGAATGTAATTTATTTTGATGGAAACACGTGTATCAGGCAAAATGACTGACTTTAGGAGTAGCATTGGTTATTTACACAGGGGTGAAAATCTTTTAAAACCTATCCTCGCAAAAATCCAGCCAATGAAGAATAATCGTTGAAGAAAATAAAGACGCCAAGAAGCGAAAAAAATAAATAAATAAATAAAACCAAAAAATAGAATATAAAAAAAAAAAACAAGGTTAATGGTAGTGTAGTGAACTTGTTTGTCCAACGTAAATCATTTCCTCACGGAAGAGAAAGGGTATATATGACCAGAATAGCTTAAAAAGGAAACGAAAAAAAACTAAGCAAATCACATGACCTTACATTATTACATGTGACAGTAGAAGGTATCATTCGGATGAGCAAAAAAAAATTCAATTCATATAATTCATAATCCAAACAGTTGTTAATAAATTTAACATTATTATTAAATTAATACTATTACTATTACTATTATTATTATTATTATATATCGAATTATGTTTTGGTTTCTTTAACATCAATGTAAAATAATAATAATTCGATTGTTTCCATTTTTATGTTTTCACGATACCTAAAAAAAAGAATTACGTTGTAGTCACGCATGCACGAAAAATTGATTTTGTTGGGACAACTTAATTGCTTTATTATACGCTTATGGTTAAAGTACGCATAAAGTGTCCAGAGCTTTAAGTCTGGATTTGTGTAGAATAAAGAAAATTTTTCGTCAATGACAAGAATGCAAGATGAAGATGAAAAGATACTGTAAATTAAAAATTTTATTTTGTCTGCCACCTTATTTACAATCCTGGTTTTGAAATGAATAAGGAAATTTATGGCGTTCTATGTATTTACGCAAACTCCGCTTCACACAAACTCGGTTCATTATATGAACTATTGATCGTCGCGTGGCACCATGACGCCATATCAAAGGGTGCTACGCAAATTCCACATCTTTTCTAATTTTATATAACTATGACGAAGTATTAACACGGTTACTACCGGATTTCATTTTTATGACGTTGAAAAATTACTATTCTGTCACTATTGTCTACACTGTAATACAAGTTTACCTACACATATACAGTATATATAAAAAGGCCTCCAAAGGATTTTGTGGATTAACTTATTGTTTATTAACTTTCAAAACTAAAATGGCAAAAAGCGTCGAAGACTTCAAAGACTTCCCTCCAATCCAGAAAGCCATAAAGCTATCAACGTCGTTGGTTTGTGATCTAGGTGCACAGGAAGTTCAAGAACGTCTGAATCAACTTAAACATTCTATACACATTCAACTTAACGGCTCGCAACATGGGGAAAAGGCGCATCACTGGCCTACACTTTGGGCACACATCAAGATGTGTATGATAGACCTGAAATATTGGGAAAGGGGAAATGGTCATCCCGCGGATAGGTTATCCGAGAGTTACATTAGGATGGAATTTTTGCGACTTTATTTCGAAATTGGTAATCTTTCGAGGAAGAAACAGTTAGAAGGAATAGTGAAAGATCTTCTGGAGATCCAATTGATAGTTGAACAGACAAAGAACAGACTGTGAAGAAAGAATCTTGGAACTTTGGCATATTCATTTCTCCAATAGTCATTTGTCAAACACGCATAAATTACAACCATTCATAAAATACATTCCTCCTCATAGAATAAACCAATATACTGTATAAATCCACTAGATTATATTATATTACAAGTCATAATTGTAATGAATCTCACCATGTAATATTTAATATTCATAAACGATCTTATATTCATTGCTCATGTCAAACCTTATCCACATATTGTTTCTACGAAAATCAAGGATTGCATCTTTACGAATCGCCAAAAGAAATTCAATACTTCAATTAGGCACAATCACACTCGCAAGCAATTTTTACAATTCAGGGTATATTGATTATTATTGGTTTATGACCGTTAAGCTGGAGTTATACAAAATTATGGCATGCTACACGTACGTGCGCATGTACTCGCGACAAATGCACAGAAAAGCGATGGATGACCATGTGTGCATCGCTTAGAACGAATACGGTGCTGTATTTTGTGTTTGGAATTCATGCAGCAGCACAATACTGGTATCCGTCAAAATACAAGTGTCAATTCTAAATTTGTACTAATCTGGTTGAAAATTTGTTGGAATGCCAATGATATATTGTACCTGAATTCATATAATTAATTCCAAAATGTTCTTTCGAACTTCTTTTTGTTTACCACAAGGACAATAATTGAAAGCAATAAACCATAACATATCCCTAAATTATGTAGCATATAAAATTTAGGTCCCCTTGTTAATGTCCACATCCCTGAAAGGGGATATAATTAAATTTAATAATTTTTATATACTGTAATGTCCTATATAAAAAATTCTTTGTAAATTCAAATGCTTCAATATATCGTGTGAATAAAGAACCTCGATAGAGATTGTTCTTATCATGAATTAATCACTATTCCAATAATAGACAAATTCGTTTTTTATCATTACTTTTAAATTAAAACACTATCAATAAAACCTTTAAAACCATGACATAATATATTGTAAATATTGGATATTAAAATAGGCTAGGCAACCTAATTATTTTTTAATTAATAGTCGTTGAATAATCTAATTTTTTTTTATCTTTAAATATTTTAATATATAATATATTCGGCTCAATTTATATATTTATTATATATCTGATTGAATCTTTGATTATACTTGAATTATAAAAAAAACATCAGTCAAAAAATTATTTTTTTAAATAAAAATTTTATATTATAATAATATTTAATAACATAAGTAAATTTTGATTTAGACATTTTTAAAATATTATTTTTGCAAAAAATTATTATATATTTTATATAATTATTATAAAAAAATAAATTTATGTTTGACAAGAAATAATATCTCAAGTGATAAAATTATATTTATATATTTTTGTTTTTTATTATTTTTTACATTATATACAATTTTTATTAATTGTATATTTAATTCATTCTATAACAAGATGGTTAATTAAAATAAAATATTATATTAATTGAAGTAAATATTTTCTTTATTAAATAACTGTAGTTATTATTATATGTTTTTTTTAATTATATGATTAAATAATAATGTTTTTATATCTTTTTTTAAAAAAACTTAAAACAATTAATAAATATTATAAATATAAGATAAATTATATTTATTTTTAATGACCTGTGGGTCTATAGCACAGTGGTTAGTGCTCCACAGGTCAGATCACAAGATACCAGTTCAATCCCATGTGAA